CAGGACACACTGCACTTTCCATATTTGGTTATTTATTTAAATAATTAAATTTTAAAATTTTAAAATTTTGATTTATAAAAAAGTTATTGCAACTTTGAGTTGCAATAACAATTTTGTATACAATGTAGTTGCAATAACAGTAGGTACAAGCAGAAGTAAATCTTGTAATTGTAAGCTAGCCTACCGTGGAGTCTACTGCCAAGAGTACATGCTTGCAATTGCCTTGCTCATAATCTGATAATCGTGTGAGTGCAGGGCTAGCTGCGTATTTGATGGGTTTTACTTGATCGATCTCTGCCTGGAAATTATAATCTATACCGGTACACATGTAATTAGTGTTTCCCTTCTTCATCGTTATGGAGTTATTGAGCAGACAGTCTCTGATTTTGTTAGCATTTTCTGCTATTGATATATTGGTTGAGACTTTGTTAACCCTAAAAATTGGAGCGGATTTTGACAGGACGAATGGTCTGGAGAATGTAGGAGCATTTAGCTACGGTGCATTTCGGATTTCCCAATACCACTTCGCCATATCGCCACTTGACGTTTGGATTACTGCAGTTTTGCGCTGTGCCATATGCATTGGAGTCACAGTCGGTGTGCTGCACGCAGCGCGCAGGGCCAGGTTGAGCAGCTCTAACCCTGCGTCGTTCCGCAAACTTCGAACTGAGCTAGTTGTCCGTGTCCGGAGACTGCAAACACCGGGCCTGCTCACCGGCGTTTCACTGTTTGTATATCTGGTGGCGAAATTTTTGTTCAGTATAGAATTTAACAGCGATGGCACGGCAGCCAGGAATCCCACTGCCAGTCCTCCGACGACAGTGGCAACAATGTCTACTACAGGCCCAGTAGCAGCCACGACACCAGTCGCTAGCGTGACTAGCGATGTGCACATACACGTCATTGTGCGCGTTCACCCATGGCTCTGGGCTCTGCTGGCCTGGTCACTCACGGCATGCATAGTACAGCTTGTCTATGTGCACCGAGTGGGAGACAAGAAGCACAGCAAGGTTAGGCCCGAGCCCAGCGATGCACGCAGTCGTGGTAACAACACTCTGCTGGTGAATGAATCCGCTGTGGAGGAGGACGTGCCACTGCTGCACCATTGCGCAGCTGAAAGCTCCGAGGCGGCTACTGCGGACTCCGAGGACGATGAGCAGCTTCTGGGCAAAACAGCCGTTGGCTCATCAGACTCGAATGACAGTGACAGCAGTGGGAGTGATGATAGCGATAACGATAGTGATAGCGCAGACAGTGATAGTGATAGTGGCAGTGATTCTGGTGAACGTAGGCGAGGAGACAAAAAGAAAAAGCGTACAACGAAGCAGGACAAAGACTTGAACAAGCCGTCGACATGGATGACGGTGAAGAAGCTTTTGAAGCAGTCCATGCCTGACTGGATGTTTATACTCGGTGGATTCTTCTTCCTGATTGTAGCCACCATTGCCCAGTCTCTGATGCCGCTGTACATTGGTAAAGTGATCAACAGCATTGCTATAGACCGGGATGCTGATCAGTTCCACCGGGCTATCATGATCATGGCTGTACTCTCGGCAGTCGGTGCGCTGGGCGCGGGCGTTCGCGGCGGTCTGTTCTCGCTGGTCTGCGCTCGCCTCAACATTCGCCTGCGCAACAAGCTGTTCGGCTCGGTGGTGCGGCAGGACATGGCGTTCTTCGACACGACGCGCACCGGAGACATCACGTCGCGCCTGACGTCGGACACGGAGAAGATGAGCGATCTGATCGGCATGAACATCAACGTGTTCTCGCGTAGCATCGCCAAGGCGTGCGGCGTCCTCGTCTTCATGTTCAAGCTGTCCTGGAAGCTGACCATCGTCACCATGGTCAGCCTGCCGGTCGTCAGCGTCCTCTCCTACATGTACGGTGAGTACTACAAGAAACTGTCGGAGAAAGTGCAGTCGTCACTGGCTAAAGCCAACGACGTAGCCGAGGAAGTCTGCTCGTCTATAAAGACCGTGCGCAGCTTCGCCTGGGAGGCCGAGGAAGCTGACAACTACAGTGAGAAGCTCAAGCGTACGTACAAGCTGCAGGTGAAGGAAGCGCTGGCCTACTGTGGTTATAACTCTTGCTCACAACTCCTGGAATGGGCTTCGGTCATTGCCATACTCTTCTATGGTGGTTATCTGGTCTTGAACGACGAGCTGAGTGGCGGGTATCTCGTCTCATTTATCCTCTACTGCGAAGAACTGGGCTCTTGTATTGAAGATGTTGGTGACGTCTTCACTGGCCTAATGTCGGCCGCGGGAGCTGCCGAAAAGGTCTTCAAGTGGATTGAACGTAAGCCTGATACCCTGCTGGAGCCGGACAAGCCCGATTGCGGTGAGCTGCGGGGCGAAGTGGAGTTCAAGCAGGTGTCCTTCCGCTATCCCAGTCGGCCGGAATCGACCGTGTTGAAAGATGTGTCGTTCGTGGCACGGCCCGGTGAAGTGGTTGCACTGGTTGGCCCCAGTGGAAGTGGCAAGTCGTCGTGTATGAGTCTGCTAGAGCGCTTCTACCAGCCCGACAGTGGTACTATCCTGTTGGATGGCCAGCCGTTGAACATGTTTAATCACAAGAGTGTTCACGAACGTGTAGTGATCGTGAGTCAGGAACCGGTGTTGTTCGCTCGCTCTCTTCGCGACAATATCCGCTATGCTCTGCCTGGTGCTTCCGATGATTGTGTTGAGGAAGCAGCCAAACTATCCAATGCGCACGGCTTTGTTTCAACTCTACCGCGCGGCTACAGCACGCAAGCGGGGGAACGCGGACAGCAGTTGTCCGGTGGGCAGAAGCAGCGCATTGCCATAGCGCGTGGTCTCGCTCGCCAGCCCACGGTTCTTCTTCTCGACGAAGCAACGAGTGCACTGGACGCGGAGAGCGAGCACATCTTACAGCAGTCCTTGCTTCAGGCAATGTCGGACCGTACCATCATAGTCGTTGCTCACCGCCTGAGTACGGTGGAGCATGCCGACCGCATTGTCGTCATTGCAGACGGCTGTGTCACTGAGCAGGGAACTCACACTGAACTACTCAATGCCGATGGAATGTACGCACAGCTTGTACAGCGACAGCTTCGCCATTCCAGCTCACCATCGCAGGACGACGACGATAGCAGACCCTCCCCGTCAGCCGTAGTGCCACGAGATATAGACAGGCAGGTGTCAAGTCGTTCCACGGGGTCAGCACAGCGTCAGCGTAGTCGGAGAGGCAACAAATCTGGCTCTTTTTCCAGCAGCGGTGACTCAAGTGCTGAAGATACCGTGAAAAAGCGAAGATAGTTTCCTGCCAGTGTGTTGACCGATTGAACTTATTGTATTTCTGCGAGCAGTGTTTCTGTTCATTGAGCTCAAGCTCAGCTGGTCAGTAAAACCAGCCGAGGGCCTGTGCAGCACCGTGGATTTAGCATTGCACACATCGACTGCTCTTGTGAACCCAGTTAGTCCAGAGTATCGTCAAGTTGTGTATGTGATATGGAGAGAATGTGGAACTTTTTTTTCGTTATTTTCAAGGAACATCTCAGCAACCTGAGTCGTTGACTATTTGTTTTAGCTGTACAATTGTTGTAGGTGCCGCTTCGGACTAGGCATCCTCACACGATCGTGAGTACACCGTACTAGCTCTTTCAGCCAATGCTACTAACTTATCTAACCAACCGTAGCCCAAAAGATAATAAAAAACTAGACCTTTTTATATATGCTCCTCCTAGAAATTGAATCGTCTTTATAGCGCCGCCGCTCCTCTACTTGCCTCTGTTTGAGAATATTTTATGGCTAGCCTATTGTTCCGCTGAGACTCCTGTTTGATTGGCGATATGTTTGTATTTATTTTTACCGATATCTTTGTATTTACTTCCTATTCTTCGGGCTCAACCAAAGTGTGAGTAAAACTGAGCTCAGACCACATTCATGTATTGTGGGGACACTGCATTTTGTTGTAGATCTACATATATAAATGGCTATTGGCTACTGGAAAATACTATACCGTACTAAAAACGTTCCTTGTAAAAGTGCGGAAAACGCATAAAAAAAGACCCCCGGGGGCCCCGGCCCACGAATAATTCTTGGGTCAACCACGTGTGACATGCATGTACACACAACACGTGACCAATTCAAATGTACTGGATCAGAACGTCAAAACTACCACAAGTACCAGTACAAAAGACAAAGTATTTTGCTCGAGCTACAGACCTGCGAAAGCCTGAAAACTGTGTTCTCCACCAGCTCGCGAATGCTAGAACAGGGTGTTCTTTCTCCAAAGACGCCATTGCAGCGAATAGTACTGTACGTGGTGTGTTGCTGCCGCGGAAATGAACTCATATACCGGTACGTACGTGCACAAATCAGGACGATACTTTTCTGTCACAATACAGTGTCAGGATTCTCTACATTGTTAAGCTAACCTGTGCTGCACTCAACACTATCGAGTAGTATAGGGGTTAGATTTCGGGGTTATTTAATAGATTAGTACAAGTAACATCCTACACACACCACCCTCAAAGTAAGTGGTCTCTTCGAGTGCATGTATTCAAATCAAACTCGAAGTGCCCCACCGTCTGACCGTCACGCGGTAAACACCATACTATAAGTCAACAAATATTTGGCGCATATTTATTTATTTATTTTCGGCTATTTTCGGCCTGGTCATGTTGGACCGCAAAAATTTGTTGCGGGCGAAATTTTGTTTTGCAAGGTTCAGTATGACAGTGTATACAGGAAGCAGCAGTACAGGCCGAAAATTTGATGCGGCCGAAATGGGTTTTAGCCCTGAGAGGCCGAAATTTGAATGGGGCGAAAATTGGTAGACTTACAGTAGGATCCGTCGGGGAACAGTAGGCAAAAGAATAAACCCAGAGAGCTTGGGATCACTTCGGTGAAAATGTCGGTCGGTCACGAGTGTCGTAGTCAAGCTACAGCAAATCACGTAGTCCGCGATGTCGGAGTTATCTGACTTTGCCGAAGCCGATACTAGGGAGGTTCTGCTCTGAGTGACGGGAATGCAACCCGAAGATTAAATGAGTACACTCAAACGTCTCATGTCCGGGCGCATTGGGACTGGGCGCTGCCTGTATCTCAGATTTGCCCGTATCTAAGATTTTCCCGTATCTCAGGAAAGCTCATCTACCATGTATTTATATGTATCTATTATTAAAGGAGATATTCTGCTACTCAGGTTGATTGCCTGAACGCAATTATTAGGAAGCGCTTTGTTTGCCGTAGTATTGCACATAACCTTACATTCCTCACACAATGTTTAGAGTATGGTGTTTATGATAGTCTCAAGAAAATCGATTAGGAACAACCGTTTTAGATACATGTATTCTCATTCATCATTCTGTAATGTCCGCTTCACTAATACTATTAATCGCATTAATAAAGTATCTATTATTGCACGATTAAAGAGGTCAATATATGAAATATAGAACGAGTAAAAGACCGAGGTCCCCCGAGGTCTTTTACGAGGTCTATATTTCATATATTGACCGATTATGAGGGCAATAATAGATTTATCACGACATAGCATACCTAAAACTGTTTTTGCTTTGCTATAGGAAGAAAGGAATACTAGTGTAATAGTATAATAGTATGTACATATGCCGTTTACATTGGACATTACTTCTGTGTAAACCAAAGTTTTCAGTTGTCTCTTGTAGTATGTTCCCCAAGTCCTTTGACTGAGAATCTGACAGTTTGGGTTCGAATCCCAGCATTTGGCTTCAGATTTTTCTTCTTTCAGTTCTGATTTTTTTCTAAGTAATTAGTTGAGGAAAAAGTTCTAAGTCCTCAGGCTAAGGGTGCGTTCTTAAATCCTCTCGGAAAAGTTTGAGACTCTCCGAAAAGTTCGAGAGCTGTTCTTATATCCTCTCCGACTTTTAGGAGGCTCTCCAAAGCTCTCCAAGCTCTCCAAGCTTCAGAGGTGGTTGAAACTTGGAGATTCCCGCGGTTTGGGATCAGCGCATGCGAACTACGACTAAAAGCCACGTGTTCATCATGAGTGTACGCATTTCCCTTTTCGCATACGCACATACATTCATCACTCAAGATCGCGGCCCCTTTGACGCTTCATTTTGCTTGACATGTGCAAAATATCTCCGAATTCTTCGAGACCCGTTCTTGAGTAATCCCAGTTTCTTCGACTTCTCTTTTCTTCTTCTTCTAGAAGCTAGAGAATATAAGAACGCACCCTAAGTGGTCAATAATAAGTGGTCAATATAAGCGGTCAATATATGCTGATATTTGACCGCTTAGAGATCACAAGTTTCTGTGGGGGTCAATAATAAGAGAGTGATAAATATAATTATAGTTTTTGATGAAGTTTATTTGGTACGTAGTGCACATGTTCAGGATAAAAAAGAATCCATTGGTGAAAATGTGTGGATTACACATGTGTGGCTTACTTGCTAGCTCCTCATCCCACCGTAAGCCATGCCTCCTTGCCACGCCTCCTTGCGGTCAATTAAACCATGTAGGGTTCAAGTGGGTCCAGGTTCTAGTGGCCACACAAGAAGGCACTTGAAAGTTCTTATCCATGCCTAGATATCTGGACCCTAAACACACAAAGTCGTGGACTCTAACCCAGCCACCTGTTCTTTCCATGATTCTCCACGTTTCACGTGAAGCAAAGCCTCTCTGCTATCATACTGGATAGCCTGTACTACTGTGGATACGGATGTTTGGCCTCCTTGATCACTACCCTGTGTACGAGTTCAAATGGAAATATATGCACACCTCACAAGGCCAATTGGCAAAGCAGCTAGCTGTCCTGAGATTGAGTGCATTGAAATCATGTACTTGTCTGGTGATGCCTCTAGTGAGTGCAATAGACTGACTGGGTGCGCACTGATCTGATGAAGTGTGTACAAACCTGTAGGCTAAAGTCGGTGTTACACTGGGGTTTTCTCAACTTTTCTGGATCTTTAAAGCACCAGAAGTAGTATGTGTGTAGCGTTGGTACGCTGGTGAATTCTCTTCATGCCAGTTAAGGTTACACTTTTGGTAGAGTTACGAGTTCAATCTTCATTCCAGTTCAGTTCAGTTTAAAAAAAAATAGACAACAGTGTGTTCACTGAGACCCTTGTATTTTGCCTCCGAGAGACTGTGGCCCGCTACATGTGTACTATTGAAAGCGCCCATTTCGTCTTGGAAGTGTGCATCACATTGACATTATGCATGCGGTCTATTACTAGTACATGTATTTGGTCAGAGTCTCATCTGTGTGTGTGTCTCTCTCTGTTTGTTTGTTTGTGTGTCGGTGTCAGTGTGTGTGTATGTGTGTGTGTGTGTGAGTGTGTGTGTGTGGTGTGTGTGTGTGTGTGTGCATGTGCGTGTGCGCTTATGTGCTTATGTGTCTGCATGTGTGAGCAGTATGTACTTGAATGAGCCGTGCACACCTGGTTTGTGTCTGCATGTGCTTGCAGTCGCCTTGCATTCACTTTGAACACGTGTTCGTGTACATGTTCCGCAGGACTTGTGATTTCGCCTGACCTTTCAAACCAATTGGACTGACTGCCCTGGCAAGGGACTCTTATTGCCTAGCTTCTTGTTATGGCGGCATCAACAGTAGCGCATAACGTCACTCGACCTGTCGTTGCTTCACAGCTGCTGCTTTCTCGCTCCTGCTGTATCAGTTCGGCGTATTGTCCAGCTGCACAGTGTAGCCGTGTGTTGAAACAGCATACCGGTACCTGCTCAGTAGCTGTCATCAGTACCAGGAACTTAGTGAGTGTAGCGGACACAGTCAGCAGCGGAAACACTGCGTCGCTGGTGACACGCCGTCACTGGCAATGCCCTGCGGCACGCAGTGCAGCGCGTCACTATTCCGCTCCACCGTGTGTCACAACCGCAGCGTTGCAAGGGCTGCTAGCGCAAGTGCAGCGTCTCCAGCAGGAACAGCGCAGCAACGGTGGCGGAGCACTGAGCCCGGAGCAGAGGTCCCGATTGGCTTCCGCTTGTCATATGCTGTGCGCTGCGATCGGGTCGTTGCTCGGCACCATTCCTTACTTGCTGCAGCAATGTTCCCGCTATGATGCTTTCCCGGGTGTAGCCAGCAACGGACTGCGATCTAGTGTATCCATACTCTCCACGTGTACATCGGCGCTTGATGACATCATCAAGTCACTGCTTACGTCATCGAATACTAAGAGAGCTTTCGCACAGGCTGTGTTAGCACTTGAAGCACATTCAGAGCTGCTCAGGGATCACGCGCAGCTTTTTAAAGTCATCTACGCTGTTGTGCAAGTGGACAAGACTGGCAACCTGATCGTTGATCATACTCAGTTTCCGGACGACTTTCTGGACACTGCTGAGAGTATGGAGCGGAAAAGCTTCTATGGACGGTGCCTCGGCCTTCATGTAAGTCACTGTGAGAAGTAAGGTGACATTTGTATGTGTGCTCTGCGACCGTAGAGTACAATAGCTGTCGGTGGTCTTTTGAATAGTCCTACCCGATCCCCCTTTGGTGCGTCCATGGAGCTATGAAGCCAAGACCTCTGGTCGGCGGAGCTTAATGGGCCCCACCACCACACTCCATTATTCACCCCAGTGTCTGGAGATAATGTGGATTTCGTAGAGAAAAAAGAAGAAGAAAAAAACACACACACAAAGGTTTTAACATGCCATGTGCGGTATGCAGTTTCTACTATAAAAACGAGGCATCTTGGCAGCTACTGAGATACCTATGCTGTTTACAGTCTGCCGGTCAGATGTCAATGCCATAAATGGTTCTGAACTATGAGCATTGGCCCTCAGAGCAAGCAGACAGTCATAAGAAATATGTATGTGTAATATATGTGTATGTGTGCGTGTGCGTGTGTGCATACACGTGTGTATTATTGTTGACAGTATGACAAAGAGGTACGGCAAGTTCTTCAACTCATCGTGGCACTGCAGGCTGCCACCGGGAAGGCATATTTTTCCCGTCCACCGACACGTGCAGGGCTTGGCTTGCTGCCACTCCTACCTGAGCCGTACACAGCAGTGAGGATTGCAGCAGACCCAAGACAGCGAGCTGCAGATTTCCTTGACATAACGTCCAAATGCAATGTGGACTTTGTGAAGCGCTTCTGGCACCTAGCTGAAATGAAGATCATGGAGCTTGGCCGGGTAAGCTGGACTGGTTAGCCAATAACTGGACTACTCGAAGAGGGGGGGGGAGGCGTAAGTGAGTGAATGAGAGAGATAACAAGAGACAGAGAGACGGCGTGAAACGTTTTACTCACTTGCAAGTTGGCCAGTGTGGTGTCGAACCTGGTTGAAAAAGGGTGCCTCGGATGGACCAGGTGAACAGGTGCAGGTAAAATCTGATTATTTGGGCCTGGAATACACCGCTACATGCACTACTAGTATCACGTTTCAGCACACATGCTGTGGCCATCATTGAGCTAAAGATAGCACATGCATGTGCTCAAGGCTATTAGTATAACTGCAGGTACGCTGACAGATATCTTTGATATATTTTGTACATTTCACGTTTATGGCTTGTTTTGCAAGGTTGTTGGAAGAGTGCCGAAATGCAAGATGAACAAACTGCTTCACCTGCCTCCAGAGCTGATCACGTTTCAGCAAGAGACCAATAGTGGCACTGAAAGTAGTGCCAGCGAGGGAGGCTCTGCTGCGTCAACTGACGGAGTGTTTCGACTGACCCCTCAGCATGGCGCTCCCATAGTGGTACCGCCACCGCTATCAGCAGATGGGAAGCCGCAGGGTGTCACCGTCCGTCACCTGGTTCCAAAGGTGAGTGTGTGTCACATTTGCGCACTGTCCTTCATGCTTTCTATCACTCTGTGCATAAGTTCCGTCCACGCGCTTTCTTACAATGCAATGAAGTACATGTACATACACGTACATGTGTCATGGAAGATATCTGCTCTGCGTTACAGGATTAGGGAAGTGCAGTGAGAGAAGTGGACAGTAAATAGCCGGTGATGATACAGTGGTCATGATCACGAATGATGGAATGTTCTAGTATTAGATTAGCATCAGTGTGAATGGTTTTGAATGGTCCTTACTAAGTATTCGTAAGTTTTCTGGTCTTGCTGCCTGACAGTTTATCACATTTGTCATTGACATTTGTTCTATTCCATGCTCAACACTCTCTTTTTGCTGCAGAGTGCCAGCTCCGAGCCTTCTAAGGCAGTCATCATTCACTTCCATGGTGGAGGGTTTCTGGCGCAAACGTCGCAGTCACATGTGGTAGGTCGTTGGAAACGAATGGGTGTGCTTTGCTGCCATGCTCCATCCATCTCTGCACTGCCCTAGCCAATAACAAGATACATTGTACTGTGACTGTCTCATGTGTGTGTAACACGGATGTGCACCAGGTTTTCATTTGGCCCTATGTACAATAGTACAGTGCTGCTCAATGACATCCAGTCGCGTCACGCAAGCACGTGCCGGGCGTTGCGCAGCCCTAGACGTGCGAACACTAGACTGCGAAATGGTGCAAGGCGCCAACTTGACTCACGCGACCGGATTTCATCAAGTAGCACTGTACATAATATTAGTATACCCTATGCATGTGTCTTCCTTGTGCTGTATTGTTCATGTAGAGTTATCTAAGCCACTGGGCCAACCAGCTCAACGTACCCGTGGTGTCCGTTGACTACATGACGGCCCCCGAGCACCCGTACCCGCGTGCCGTCAACGACTGCTTCTACGCATACGCCTGGGTGCTGAGGAACGCCACCAGCCTGGGCACCACTGCCGAGAAAGTCATCCTGGCCGGCGACTCGGCCGGCGGTAACTTTGTCTTCGGAGTGGCATTCCTCGCTGCACAGTACCAGCTTCAGAAGCCGTGTCTGGTTCTGGGCGCTTACCCTGCTCTGAAAATCTCACTGGATCTGTCACCGGCACGTTGCCTAAGCGTAATGGATCCGCTGTTACCCATTGGAACGCTGCGGGCATGTTTGAATGCGTACCGGGGAGGTGGCAGGTGAGATAACAGTTCTTCTTTTTCTTGGAAATTTCACTGTACAGTGCATGCCTGGGATTAGCAAATTAGAATTGGCCAACGTTGGCATCTTTTGATAGTGACAGCTGATAAGAGGTGCATAGACTGTCACTCCAAGTAAGAATTTCCTTCGTTGCAAATAGGATTGCCCATTTCACAAAATATATACACTTACCTGGTAATGTGAACAGTCGGCATGGAGACAGTAACATGTGATCATGTGGCTGCTGTATTGGTGTGTGACAAGCAAGATGGCGTGAAATAAAAGTTAAACTTCAAAATTTAAGTACTAAAGTCTAACACCCTTTTCTCCTTTCATCGGGTATGAAGTGCTGTTTCGACGACCCTGCGTATCCTTTCTCACACCTTAGGCGCGAAGTATCTCACCTGTAATAAATCACTGAGGTGTATGTCCCCAAGAGAGTAAAATACCGGCGTTTTACTACTCCCTGGAATACCGGCGTTTTACTACTCCCTGGTACGTTCTACTGAAGTTTGACTACACCAAGTCACGTTCTTAGCACATCGACAATCAACTTTCACACTTCATGTCTTGTGCTTATGCAATGTGAAAGAACCTCCAGTGCTGCTCAATGAAATCCAGTCGAGTCACTCACGTACGTGCTGGGCGTTGCTCTAGACCTGCGAACATTGGGCTGCGAAATGGTGCAAGGCGCAAACTTGACTCACGGAACCGGATTTCATTGAGCAGCACTGTACTTTAAAGTGCTTTGCTGTGACTTTGTCACTTTCTGGTTAGCTGTGATTTTGTCACTTTCTGGTTAGCTGTGATTTTGTCACTTTCTGGGTAGCTGTGTGCACATCGCCTTAAGCTTTGATTTCATCACCTCGAATTGAAACAAAACTGCATCGCTTCCTTTGTCCTGCTTTCTTTATCTGATGCAATGTTGGTGCTGGATGAGGATAGAGAGCTCTGTGACTAGAGGCAGGTGTTTGGTGGACCGTGGACCATGTGACTTGCCTTTGCCCTTGCTATATTCTCGTTGAAGTCATCGGAATCCACTCTCTGTGCCTACACAGCTAGGCTACGTACGCTGTGGATGTACTCTGCAATGCTGATTGCTCTGCGAGTCCTAGTTCATGGTGTTCTTCTCTTGTCCTGTCCAGCATGCCAGAGTATCACCCGAACACCGGTGGCCTGTCACAGCTGCAGTCAGGCATCCACCAACGCCATGCCGCCATCCTGAATGCTTCGCCGGCCTACCTCTCTCCACTGCTGGCCAGTGATGAGATGCTGCACAGCTTACCATCGGTTGCATTGCTGGTAAGCCACTATAGCACACATGGTAGTGCGGTATGAGCTATGCATTCACATACCAGTAGCTGAGCAGTGCTAATTCCGTACTTATAGTATTGACAAACTGGCCTATTGATCAAAAGCCGTCCAGAAATACACCCTGTCCGAAACTCTTTCCAGAAGGAACCTTTCCCATGCCCCGGAAAACCCCAGCACTACTGTACCACACGTAGGTGTGTGAATTGTGACTAACTTGTTAGATGCAATAGTCATGTACATGTAACTAAGTTAGGCTTTACAACATGTGCAATGTTGGAAGTGTTTCGCCAAAAAGGAGACCTTGATTAGAGAGCCTTCTGTGTAGTCTCTACTATTGAAATGATGAGCATGTGAACAATCTACTTCTGAAGTAGTACATGTCCGTACTTCACAGGATCTGCTGGAGCCACAGAGTCAGAAGTCAGCAATGTTGCCACAGGCCCTGGCGGCTTGTACCTCTGGGTCTGGGTGTGATGTATTGTTAGCATGTTCAAGCCTTTCAAGCCTTTCAAGCCTTACTGAGTAATGCAAGGAGCAGTCTGTGTGTCATGAGTAGCTATGTATGGAGCAGCTAGTCTGTGTGTAATGAGTAGCTGGCCATGTGAGTTCCATAGAAAATCGATTGTGCCTGAGACATATCGCGTGTCTGGGAAGGGGCGTTAATGGAGCAGTTAAGCTGCACGTTATGTTTGACGTGACGCAGCTCGCGTTATTTGGCTCGCGCGTTGGAAAACAACGCGAGTGACCTGCTGCTCACGTCGAAATAACGTGCAGCTTAACCTCTCTAATAGCCAGTCATGTCAAGTGTGTACAGAGCACCTTGGTAAGCACATATATAGATCTTCTACATGTATGTGCTAGACCCTGCTAGGAAGGCTGTGCGGAATGGGAAGGTGGGTTACTAGCACACCTTCTACAGAGAGTAGTGTGCAGTATACGAGCTGATAGAACTTCCATGACAGCGGCCTCCATTGGAGAAGGACCCCTGCTGTCTAGTGGAAGAGTTGCCTGAGGCTCAGCCACATTTCTTGTCGGTATCTTTGAGTACAAGAACATTTCAACATGCTACATTATTGTTCTCCTCTGTGGGTGTTCAGGTAAGAAAGCTTCTACATGGATGTTGTTTCATTGCCGATAGATTCCTTCGTGCTATGGGTCATCTCTTATTCTGTCTCTCTCTGTCTCTGTTTCTGTTTCTGTCTCACTCTCTCACTCACTCTCACTCTCTCGCTCTCTCACGCTCTCTCTCTCTCTCCCTCTCTCTCTCTCCCTCTCTCTCCCCGTTCTGTTGTACCTTTCAGCCAAGCTCATTCGACCCACTCCTGGATGATTCCATCGTCATGGCGCGTCGCCTGCACGCACTGGGCAAGGATGTGACACTACGCCCATTCGACGGAGTATCCCATGGCTTCCTCAACTTCCACGCAGTCAGCCGCTTGGCGCGGCAAGCCACCGACGCGTGCATTGAGTTGATGGATGCAGCGATCAAGCAACATGACCAAGATGTTTAGTCTTGATACAAGTAGTTCCCATTCCAGTACGAGATGTCACCACTCATGCGTTCCCAGTGCAGCACCGGGCATTTGCCCATTGGCAGTCATTTTACGAGTATTGAACTAATTTTTTAAATAGCAAGCTTCATAATTAGTTTATTACCATCCAAGTTCATATCGAAGTACTGTAAGGTCTTGTATACAAGTCGCACTTGAATAGAAGCCGCAATTTTGGGCCCATCAAATCACACATAAGCCTGGTTTTAGTGTTGACATACATAGAAATCCCTGTCTTGTATAGAAGCCTGTCTCATATAGAAGCCTGCAAAATTTCACAAAGAAAGTCATAGAAGCCGCGGCTTTTATACGAGACTTTACGGTATTTATCATCATTAGTCTCCCATGGAATTTCCTGTGTACCTTTTATGCAATGCGGCCAGTTTTTTTAATGATCAATAGGTTAGAGATGTGGTGACCCAGACATGCCTGAAGAGGCCTGAGATATGTCAGCAAATCCAGCTCTCTTACGATAAAGAAACCTCTTCCAGCTCTCTTGGTCGGCATCATTATATTTTTTGGCTAGTGTGTTTTGACCACTGAGCAGCTGCACAGCATGGTCGATTTCATGTCTTGATTTTCTAGTTTCTTCGAACATTATTAGATCATAGGACTTCGGATGTGGCTGGGAAGGTTGCTACAGGATAATTGGCATGAATAGTCGCCGGTTTCGAGTGTCCGGCTGCATGTAATCTAGCCTATTTTGCACTAGTGTGACCTATGCTACCGGCATACCGGCAGCTAAACACAAAATAATGCAGTGCCCACGTTATTGCTGATATAAATATGTGGTTGGTAGTAGTAGGGTAGTGAGTCAACACTGAAAGATATACACCAGTTTTATGTGCAAAAGTGCAGATCTGATACTTTGGATATAACATTGGAGGTTAGCGTCAATATGCACTTGGAACACTAGGGACAGGCCCGCCGTCCTAGATGACTACATTATCATACTCCCATCGGAGTGTGTACAACATGATTTAAACAAGCACATAAAACGAGGCACTCAACTTTTAATGTACAAAGAGTCATGCGAACACGTACATGACAGAAGAAACACGACTAATTGATGGAGGAGCAGTCTATGTCTTCTTCTTAGCCTTGGCGCGGGGCACCTTCGGGTCCGCGGATGCCCATGCCTTGAGGGCAAACAGCTTCTTGCCCAGGTCAGTCAAGTCGACACCGGCTAGTTCAACCTACACGTACACAGTGTAAACACAGAGATAACACTGTGTTACATGTGTGTATTAAGACTCGCTGACTGAACAGACTGAAGACTCATGGATTAATCATGCATGCTCATATCACACGAGCGCATGCGAGACAGGAGACAGTTTTGGGAATGTCATCACACAGGAAAACAATACTAGTACATCGTTACACCACTGGCACTATGATAGGCATGTGGCGTCACCCGGATGATGTGGATACATGAATGCAAGGGTATCAGGCATGTAAATACATGAACACAGACAACAGCACAATAGGCACACGGCCACAGGAAACAACGTGAGGCACAGCACCCAGGGCATGCACAAGAAAGCAAACAATACATGATCCGCTAGGCAGCAGCAGGACAACAAAACAGCCTAAGGACTACGAGATCTCGTATACTTAGCAGCAGGACAGACACATCCATTACTGGTCACATCAGCCGGCGGAGCACCCGCAACATACCTTGTCCTTGATAAGCTGTCCACGATACTTAGCTCGTTCTGAGCGGAGGTTGATGGATGGGAACATCTTTACAAATTGAACATACCTGCAGAGGACATTGTAGGTCCACAGGGACTTGTCATAACACGAACCCACACATAGCCTAGAGGGATGATCCTTTCCCACCAACGACTACTATTCAAGACTTCAAGTACCATAGTACAATATATGTCAGTAGCCTATAGCGATAAGCAGCCCATAATTAAGTTCTATGTATTCCAGGAGGGTCATAGATGCTGCTAGATATCCGGAGAGCATCATCTACTCATGTACCGTAGAGCAGAGCTTTATCATAGATATCAGTCTGGTTGGTGAGAACTGAGTAGGCGGGAAAGCACCTAGTACAAACCACTGCATCAAACTTTAACAAACACGGACACACACACGAGCGCACACTCATACACACACGCACACACACACACACACACACACACACACACGAATACTCATATACGTAGCAGTGTTCTGACGTACCTTGCTCGCGTGCTGTTGTTGGGCCGACTGCCGTGCGCCACACGCTGGTCCCAGATGAGTAAGCTGCCAGCACGCATAGGTACTCTCTGGGGCTGTTTGTACATGGGATCATGGCCATGCACAGGTATAAAGTTCTACAAAGAGAACACAGAGATCACAGGTAACAACCAACCGTTTGAATGGTAAAGTAGTCGTTGTTGATGAAATCCAGCCAACTAAAACATCAGTACCCCGCAGCAGTACACAGACAACTGTCCCTGTGGGCTACAACTGTATGGTCCTGACCCTAGTTGAGCATGATGAGGCTGAATTTTGTTGGACATGACAGTAGTTTTAAAAAGCAGCACAGTCACGGAGAAGGTTGCAGGAGAAAACAAGTAGCTGTAGAGAGAGTTTGTTATTGCAGATTTAGATTTTATATTGCCCTAGGAATGGTCAAGGGTGAACACTTGTCAACTGCGCAAAGGTGTTGTTTGTTGCTCGGACCGCGGTCACGCTCTCAGCACCGAATATCACACCAGCCTTGTCGCACTATACATTGTGCCATGGTGGTCACAGGTGAATGCGTTTGAGTGTCGCTTCTCAACAGAGCCTACAATACAAAGTCATCGTGTGTGTGTGTGTGTGTGTCGTTATCACCGTTTGCATGAAACCTCAGATGCCCAGGAGGCAGGAGTGATTCTTAATTTCTTACCTTGTCCATAAAGTACTGGGCTATCAGGTCGCGCGTTGACCTGGACCAACTGGCCAGCTCCTTGTGAAAGCCCACGACAAGGTGAAAGCCGCCATCCTCCTCTAGGTTGTCAGCAAGATTCAACATTCCCTGCGTGTTCACCTGGATGACGGTAGACACACAGTGGAACAGGGAAGACAAAAAGTGGAACAGGGAAGACGAAAGTGGAACAGGGACGACACAAAGTGAAACAGGGAAGACAAAAAGTGGAACAGGGAAGACACAACATTTGTAAGAAAAAGTAGACCATGCTACTGAGCAGGGATGTACAGTGCTGCTCAATGAAATCCAACCTAGTGAGTGAACGCCACACCAAGCGCTGTGCAGCCTAGACCTGCAAACAATGGGAACTGGTGCAGGGCGCAAAGTTGACTCACCTGATCGGATTTTATCGAGCAGCACCGTAGTATATAATGGTAAAATGGACCTGTGCAGTGTGCACAGACATGGCCTTGCAGTATGTACAGTGCGAACACATACTGAGCTACAGGAGAAGACCAGTGTTCAGTTGCGGTCGATGCCTGACTGGGTTCAGGTTTCGAGTGTGCTATTCAATCCTTCCTCACCAGTTGTGATCAATGCCATTGCGGTCATATTGTCTGTTCATCGTATTCGACTTGAAAAGCATCTCGCGAGAGCACCCCACCTTGATTTTACAGCCAAGGGAAAGGAAAATCGTGTGGCAGAGTGCAACGAAGTTCGTACGGTGTGAGAACCTTAGTGTACTAAGGTCACATAGCAGGTTTTTGTGCGGAGCTCGTGTCCGCACGAAGGCAAATTGAGTACGGATTGACTGCACTATGTGCAATATGATTGTGTACAAGGTTCGTATCGTACAACCTACAGACAGGAAACCACCTCCACAACACGACCATGAAAGGATGAGATGGTGGGGCGCTCTGAGGATACTTTACGGTAATGCTACGAAAGGCCTAGTCAAAAACTAAAATTATGGCTTCTGTGTTTCGTGTGCTGATCGGACTGTCTGTTCTCTGTGCTTTGATCTTAGCTCCTGGCATCATACTGTATCAATTATGTGCTCCGGTTGGGTGCACCTCAATGCCTCATGCCATTATCGTATTTGTGCAGCGGGCTCTGATTTAGGTTCCGCTGGGGTCAGTTTCGCCGAGCCCGTCTTGCATAGTGTAGCTTTTCGGTAGTTGTTCTTGTGCGTGTGGAAGGAGGTTTTTAGCTGTACCCTTTTCGTTGGCTGTGCTGTGATGCATTGGCAATGTATTTATAGTACTTGTAATTCTTGGTACAAAGAGTCGGTTCTACTTCTAGTGAAAATACAGTCTTCTGCACTAGTGTGTGCAGATTGTTGAACAGTCAGACGTGCACAAGGTAGCACCGGACTGACAAGGAGTACTGAGACATTCCACAATAGTCTTGTGGTTTTGAAGCAATAAAATATGGGCTATTCGGTCTCCAAGCTTTCCCCCTTCACGAGGGTCCCGGATCTCCTGCCTCTTCATGGCCGCACCCATGTGGAATACTTCCTGACGCCCCTGTAAAGTGACAGCTCATTGCTCTTACCTGAGGCTCACTCTCCATGCCAATCTCGTTGTTCTCCAGAAAGAAGTCATTCGGATCGATATACTTCAGATCGGCGACGGAGCGCTGTGCCTCACGAGTACCCTGAACCATTACAAGGTCGTCGTCCAGCGTGTGACGCCACGGGTTTAGCTGTGGGCACCAGGGCACATATCCACACACATAGTTGTCAAATCCAACTTCAAACCCTTTCCCACCCACCACAAATACAATAAAAACTAAAAACTGTGTTTGGCGACCACTGTGAATAAAGACCTGTCTAAGGAGACTAGTTTTTTTTTCAGGATCAAAACCATGTTTCTACATCCATTTGACCTGTCTATAAAAGACCACGTGTGTAGGGGTATTCTGTGCACCATGGTTTGGTCAGTTAACTTAGGCTCCACTGTACAGGTGAAAGTTTACACACTAACAGCGACAGAGCAGTGGTTCAGCAGAAAGCAGTAGAAAGGCACGCAGAGCAGGAATAGTGGTCTGCCGTTAGCATTTCAAACGGAATGAAAGTTAGGAAATGTGAAGCAAAAATAGGTGAATCCCACTGATCAATCTCCAGACCGTTAGTGGTTTCAACTCTGTTAGATCTTGTCAACAGAGCTCATTGTGGCTGGCCGCAATCGATCGCAGTCAAACCTAGTGAACAACACGGCATTTAAACCGGCTCTATATACTTTCATAGAAGAAAAAAGGACCAAGGAACTACAAGTTACGCTATAATGTCCACTAACACCACCAGTAGCGTAACTTGTAGTTCCTTGGTCCTTTTCTTTTCTATAAATTTATCCTTGGCTCTCCATCCGAGTCCATCCTATATACAGTCAACTTCGCTAACAACGACTGCGGATATAACGACAATTCGCGAATAACGACAGCATTTCCATGCCCAGAGCAAAGTCCCTTCCAACTCTAATACATAACAGTTATAATGAGTTTGAAGAAGGGCTGAGGCTTCCTGCAGCTTCATCTGTGAAAAGAATTCGGGTGGACACACCCATTCCCATAGCGCTGCATATCACATCCGAACCAGTTCCGTTATTTTACAACGTTTCGGCACTTGGCCATCATCAGGTAATAACAATGAATACCGTGGAAGCCACACAAGAGCAGTATATACGCAGAGTGTAGCGCCAAAAAAGAAAAAAAAGAAAAAACGGCGCGCTCTTCTTCTCCGTGATGTGCACAGTTGCACCTTCTCTCTCTCCCCCCCCCCCCCCTTTGTATAGAGGTGACATAACTCGCATCATTTTATTTTTTGGCGCTACACTCTGCGCAACGCCATTCACAGAGCACAATGCGCGCTACCTTCTGCTGCTTCTCCTCCGTGATGTGCTAGTTGCGCCTTTTCTCTCTCTCTGTCATACTAGGTGACATAATTCGCATCTTTTTTGGCGCTACTCTCTGCGTATATACTGCTCTTGTGTGGCTTCCACGGTATTCATTGTTATTACCTGATGATGGCCAAGTGCCGAAACGTTGTAAAATAACGGAACTGGTTCGGATGTGATATGCAGCGCTATGGGAATGGGTGTGTCCACCCGAATTCTTTTCACAGTTATAATGAGACTTCGGGTATAACGACACTTCGGGAATAAGGACACTTTTTTGATGCCCCGCCGGATGTCGTTATAAGCGAAGTTGATTGTACTTTTGAGCAAGTACATGTACTTGTCACAAGGATCACCATTCTTACATCCCAGTGTAAGGAGTATGCCGTCTTCCACTTCTTGCGAGGCTTGACCAAGCGGTTCTTGGCATTGCGCAGCGGACGGAACAGGCCCAGGCGATCGTGACTGACCATCAGATCCTGGGCACGGGGCATGAGAAGATAAGAAGAGAAAAGAACTCTTCATGCTTGTACAGCCATGTGTACAACAACTAAACAAGTTATGTACTCAAGGCAGAGCAACAGAGACCAATATGGCAATATCTTTCTCGTGACTCCGAGTTTCGTGTTCAAAAACACTCATCAGACGAAAGTCAAGTCATGTACATGTACATGCACTTCAGACCTTATGGCCATACCATACGGCTCATAGCTGATCTGCTTCCTAGATTCCCCGATGCCGGCTTGGGGAGGTCTTCATTACAGTTTACAAAATGCAGCATATCAGTGCCAAACAGCAACTGACTAGTACTATATGTAGCACAGCACAGCACAGCACAGCACAGCACAGCACAGCACAGCACAGCACAGCACAGTGTCATGTAACTTAGCATGACTGGAAGTACACTGCTGGCAACTGAAATCCGACCCCTAAGCGGTGCGCTCACATCGCAAAGACCCAACACGGGATAGTAAACCTACGAAACACTGTAGAGACCGCTAGAATGTGAACACATCGCTCAGGGGTTGGATTTCAGTTGCCAGCCCTGTAAGTGTCTGTCTAGTATTACAACTACTCCTCTTCAGACAGCTAGCTGCTTGAACCTTGCTAGGTCTTACCAGCGGAGGCCAGAGTGACTGGCCCAACCAATCACAATAAAGTCAACAGAGCAGCAAAGCAATCTTTAAATCGTACGGCCCCGACATCAAAAGTCACCAAAACAGCGGTAGAAACATTGCTTACCTTGCGCTCCATGATGTTGGCAAAAGCCTCGTACACATTGGGATTCTGACGGTTTAGAAGGGCTTGGCGGGTGAAGACGGGCAACGCACCTACAATGCTGAACAAGGAACAGGAATAACAGCTTTGCATGCTGTAGTAGGAGGTACGAACGGGCATTTTGAAAATTCATATTCATGGAAAGCAGTGCACATGACCTGATGTTTTTACTCTATAAGGCTGTGATCAACCTGCACGCCACAAACTGCTCCCAAGAATCTGACGATATCGGTGTTCACAATTACAGTCCGTATCGCCTATAAGGTTGGCGGCTATAGTAATATACCGGATATAGTGATCAATTTCTCAAATTCATTTTCATTTGCCATAACTAAGTATACACAGTTATCGCGTATGGTAATAATCGTCTATAGTAATATATCGCCTATAGTGATCAAATTCTTATTTCAAAAGACCTTTATTACATTATTTTTGCATCGGTTATAGTGATTGATGTAAAATCAAGCGATGTTAGAGGAGAACAGGGTGTTGCTTTTTCGTGAAGAGCTTGTCCAGTGAGTGTTGTTTGGTGAGTTTTGCTCGTACAAGTTGCCAAAATATGCCTCCATCGTGAGGAAATGCTGATTTTCTGTGTCAGGAGCTACAGCCAGCTACATGACATTGTACATGTATGTAGTGCGTATGTGCACGGCGCGCTGAGTCGTTTGACATCCCACTCGCATACATTACATGCAGTATCGGTCGTAGTAATATATCGCTTATAGTTATAGTGATAAAATGCTCAAAATCAAACACCAACGCTATCGGCGATACTGACTGTACTTATTTGAGTCAATAAATCCCCTCCCAACAGCATCCGAGGATACTGACAAAAAAAAAACAGGTGAACATGAGTGGACACGTTACATATGATTGTGGAAAAAAGGCAAGGTGCAAGGCACAAGGGGTGTGGAGAACAGAATGATGTGAGCATAGAAACTTAGCATGAAACATGCAAATACACGCAAAGGTCAGCAACAAGTCAGCACAGTCCTTACACAGCGTCAGCTCATAGATATGACAGGTACGAGTGAAAACCACTGCCCTGACTTGCTAATGTAGCACCGCTCGACATTGCCAGAAATCTTGCACAACAAATTACGCACTGATTATCCCAACAGTGTAGACTTCAACTCAGTCTTCAAGCCAAGAATCCAATGCCATAACCCTATTATTTGAGCACAACCGGACACACGAATACAGGCCCTGTGCGGACATCTACAGCATGGTGTGATTGCACCTAAGGTGTACGGGTAGTTCGCTGTTATCACACCTACCCAGCTCCATCCAAGGGCGGCCAGTCATTGCTCCACGACGAGGGGTCATCGCGGCGTATCCGTGACTTGTTCAGCACCTGACAGGGAGTGTGCCATACGCAACGATACAAGAATACATGTACAATGAAACCTCGTTAAGAAGAACACTGATAAGACAAACTTTCGCTTTAGAAGAACTAGTATCCATAACTCGATTGGATAAATCACTGTGTATTCACTGGGTATAGGATATGGATAAGAACTCTCGTTATTGCGAACAAATACCACCGGTCCCTTGGCGTTCGCCCTAAAGAGGTTTGACTATATACCGGTGCAATGCGATCAACAGATCAACCTGGGAACAGCAAGTCAAGAGAAAAAGGCCAAGGTCGCATTTCACACCAACACAATGAGTCATGGGCCTCTTCGCACCGAATACGGATGATCTCACAGCGATTGTTATGAATGCAATACAAGTACCAGAGAGTTTAAGGTTCTAGTGGTGCAGACAGGCCAGTCATCACAGGGTGATCACTCTGCATGCATGTGCAGACTTGTACAGGCCATGGTAATGTGAAAAGCAATGCATTCCAACGGCACGCTCCCCAAGCAACTGCTCAAGAGTCACACCACCACTACTAACCTTTCCAAGTTGGTCAGGCGTCACAAGCCTGTTAACATGATCCACCATCATGGGTGGCAGCCATCGGTGAAGTTCATAGCCCCGATCTTCAATGTACTCCCACATCTCATCAATAGACTGATTGCAGGCTTCCTGGGAAATGGCATCGCGGATCACGACGAATCCGTGCTGCTTGAAAAACTGCAAGAAGACAGGCGCCCCGACGTAAGTTAGGCAATGCACAAGAGTGTGGGGGTGGATTGGGGGGGGGGGGGGGGGGGTATGCAACTGCATCATCATTGCATGGTTTTGAATTAAGTGGCATCACAAGCTCTGCTTTGCTGCTCAATGTAAAAGCAGATACATGTACATGTATGGTGATGGCAATCGTATAACCTAATAGAAATCTGCTCTGGAACCTGCAGGCTTACTTCACATCTCAGTCTCTGCAAGGTTATCCCCAAGACATTCTATCAGCGGTTTCAATAGTGCTCAGCATTGAAGAAACCCAAGAAAGTGTGATCTAGACATCTGGTACGAAAAACACACGAATAAACGGGTTTCAGCGACATGCCTGACAATGACACTCTCCACATAAGGCAAGGCACCTTACCGTGCGATACGCTTCGGCCTCATCCAGATTGAAGCTCTGAACGTAACGCGGATCATCCTTATCACGGGGTATAGGGATAAGGGCAGCGGAATGAATGTCGTCCGGGTCAAGCTTTATCACCTCTTCCATCGTGGCACCTGTACGCATACCACAAGTTCACAACCGACAATCATACACCACGTACACGTACATACAAGACACATTACTGATGACATTGAGCCGGGCCAACACCCCCTCCCTACAATCCTATCGCAAAAGTTCAGCAATAGTGGTGGCAAGGTAAATACGGTTAGGTCTGGCACCCAGCAAGCACACTACATGCACACAGTCACCACCGACACACGACCAATGGAGGTTATGCGAACGGGGTCATGGTGGCGAGCTTATGGGTGCTATCTGCTATGTATGCAACGCAAGTGGCTAGTACTACATGTATAGTGAGCACAGCGCTGTACCGTGATTTTGCCAAAGCATCTCAACTGATGATGCAATCGCAAAACCTACTTATAGTATGGGACCCACTTCCTCCTAATTTGTACTCCAAGTTACATGTACTTCCTCAGCAAACTAAAGCTCTTGGCGCACTCTTTCCACAATCGTCAATCACAGGACCTGAGTTTAGTTCAGGGGGACAACACACAGGGGTCTACTGGCATGGCATTCGCTTCTATACTTTATAGTATAAGCGTAGCATGTGTAGTGCATAGTGTTTGTCGCCGTATTGTCTCTCTCTCTCTCTTTCTCTCTCTCTCTCTCTCTCTCTCTCTCTCTCTCTCTCTCTCTTTCTCTTTCTCTCTCTCTTCTCTCTCTCTCTCTCTCTCTCTCTCTCTCTCTCTCTCTCTCTCTCTCTCTCTCTCTCTCTCTCTCATCTGTATTATATGCACATGCTCGTTGTAAAATAAATCAGTCCTTGTCTTATCCCGCAAGGGACTCCTGCATGGCGTGCAGGCTGAACACAACAGCATGCATCACATGGGAAAGCATACGCACAGTTACGCAGAGAGCAAAAGTCCGGGCTAGCACCGCAGCTTCTGAAAACCAGGAGTGACAGTCAGACTTCACTCGCCGCCGCTGTCCAATACTACATGTAGTGGGATGCTGCACTGTTTAATACCTACAACTGTGCATAGGGCACTGGGTATGTAACAGGCTTGTCTTCACATGTGGGTAACAGGCTTGTTTAACTACTAGTACTTCTTTTTTGAAGTAGGTAAATCCCACGAATTGGCGGCGTGTCACGTCCTGCCCCGCCAACGTCCCTCTCCCAGTTGATCTTGCTACTGGTAACAATTGCTACGGCGGAACCTACTCGTGAACAAGCACAGGTGACTTGTGGTGAAACTGTACATCAAGTACCGTATTTCCCCGATTGTAAGACGCATCCCCATTTTCAGGTCCTTGTCATATCGTTTCAATATATTCACTTCAGTAGTGAGTCATGCTCGATTGTAAGTCGCACCCCCCCCCCCCCCTTTGTTGGGAATGAAGTTTAGTGTAAAAAGGTGCGACTTACAATCGGGGAAATACAGTACGCCTTTTTTCATTTGGTGTGTTGCACGGATGCCAGTAGGATACAGGTAGGCAGCACACAATTCAGACTGACTGGTCCAGCAAACTGAACACGAGTCCAACAATACAATGTCATGTGCTCCTAACAACTCTTCACACACTATTCAAAATCCGTTCGCTGACCAAACAATGCCATGGTTGATTGCCTGACAGTAATTCGGCTAAATTAAAGCCTGACCAGCCACACCAATATAGCGTGAGAGTGACCTTGTAAATCTTTTAAAATTAGCTCACTCATTTTTATGTTCGACTTCAACATCCCAAGAACTCAGTACTGGCTTAAGGTGGCAGTCTGGGTTCAGAGGGTCAAAAAACAAAGTTTCGATTTTCTGTATTTTTTCACTGGCAGCGTCTTGTGTATGGTCCAAAGGGTTTATCCTGAAAATTTGAGCGTAATCGGGTGCTTCCTTCCGGAGATATAGCCGCGCAAAGTCTGCACAATTGTTTTTGAAATACTGAAATATCAGCAAATTTCTACAAAATTTAGGTTTGCACACTATTCCGATTTTTACCGTCAATCTTTGAGCGATTTCATTAAAATTTTCTGGAGCGACTCCTGGTACTCCTCTGCGCTGCAGACTGACAGCCGCGCACGATCTTTGTCACCATGGCAACCAAGATAACTTTTGCGCATGCGCAAATTCAAAAAAATTCAAATTTCGACTCTCATGATCTCAGCTGATCGCTCTGCTGTTGAAACTAGTTACTTTTGGAGTAATTGTTTTGGAGTAATTGTTTCTTGGAGCTAACCCCTTCGTTGGCTACTATGGGGAAGTCTAGAGCCAAGGGAAAGCCCGGACGATCTAAGAAAAGGAAAAGAACGTTCTATGGAGTGTCTCAGGCGCCGAAGGCTCCCTCTGGTGAAATTTCGCCTGCAAAACAAATTCCTGACTTGCCACTGTCTGATGACGACCTTGAAGTGTCAGCTGAAGCCACGTCTTCAAACAGCGATAGTGATGGAAGTGGCGGTGAAGTCGACAGCAGTTCCTCCGACAGTGACTTGGATGAAGAGTGTGAGGAAGGGGCGCATGGATTTCGCCTGATTGATCTCGAGTGCCTTCAGCAGCTTTTGTCAGCTGCAGTTTGTTGCAGTGGCTGTAATGGCGCAGTCACGATCAGCGAATCGCAACGGGGAGGCCTTGCATCATGCCTGGAGCTTTCCTGTGTTAACTGCGGCGACATAGCAAGCGAATTTATGTCCAAGAAGTTCAATCGGGTCTGGGAGGTGAACAGACGAGCAGTATTCGGAATGCGACTGATTGGCCGTGGACGTCAATCAATGGTAAAGCTGGCGGGTGCACTGAATATGCCATCACCTATGAGTCGGTCGACATTTTACAGCCATGCTAAAGGCCTGCATTCCGCGTCCAAGAGCGTCGCTGAGCGTAGCATGACTGAGGCAGCTGAGAAAGCAGTGTCCGCAGCAGATGGGGGTAGCGATATCGCTGCTTCCTATGACGGTACCTGGATGCGCCGAGGATTCGCATCGCTCTTCGGAGCCTTCACTATAATTGCATATGATGTCGGCAAAGTGGTGGACTGCGAAGTGCTTTCAAAGTTTTGCCACAAGTGCACGCACTTGGCGTCTAGAAAAGAGAAGGGAGAGCTAACCAAAGATGACTATGATCGACAGATTGCCGAACACGATTGCTCAGTCAACACCACTGTATCAGCTCCTGCCATGGAGAGTGCAGCCGCCAAGACTCTGTGGGCCAGGTCCTTTGAGAGCCGCAAGCTGAGGTACACCACCTACATTGGTGATGGAGATACCAAGAGTTTTAAGGCTGTGCGTGACGCTTGTCCGTATGGGCCCGAGGTGCCTGTAGTCAAGGAGGAATGTGTCGGCCACGTTCAAAAACGCATCGGTACCAGCCTAAGAAAGCTGAAGAAAAACCTTGCGGGCAAGAAGCTTGCTGATGGGCGCACTATAGGCGGACGTGGTCGCCTCACGGATGCCATGATCGACAAGCTGCAAGCCTACTATGGCATGGCTGTGCGGAACAACAGCGGAGACTTGCAAGCCATGGCCAGGGCCATATGGGCATCCCTCATGCATCGTGCATCCAGCGACAGTAAACCTCAGCACCAGTATTGTCCGCCTGGAATTAACAGCTGGTGTAGATGGCAGCAGCAACAGGCAGGTGGTGATGTCTACGCCCACCACAATATCCTGCCAGAGGCAGTATGGAAGGAACTGAAGCCGGTCTACATTCGGTTGTCCGACCGGAGTTTGCTCGAGCGCTGCCAGAAGGGTGCTACGCAGAATCGCAACGAAGCGTTCAATGGACTCGTGTGGCAGTTGTGTCCAAAGACAGGCTTTGCATCCGCTCCCACTGTCCAGATGTGCGTCTACCTGGCCGTGGCCTGGTTCAATGATGGAGGTGTGGCAGTGAAACGCGTTCTGGACGAGATGGGCCTCCCTACTGGACACCATACGACACGTCTCATCAAGCTGCTAGACCGTGAGAGACAGGCACATGCTGCCAGAAAGAAGTCAGAAGAAGGGAAGAGGTCACGAAAGAAGCGAAGGAGGATCAGGAAAGGCATCCAGGATGAGCAGCAAGAGGAAGAAGGTTTGACATATGAAGCTGGTGGCTTCGACTAAGTTCTAGTAAGTTCTAGTTGGACAGACATACCTCCATCTGTACTTGCACAGAGCACTTTTTTTCTCCATTTTCCACTGAGTCCCGTACCTCTTAGACAGCGTAGCGAAGAACCTGTAAGTCACAGACCCCATAAACCATACATTTTTGGAAACTGTGAGCATTTATCAAGGTGCTAAGTGTCATGGATTTTTATATTTGTCTAGTAGCTTTGAGTAAAGTGCTACTGATCGAGGACCTAAATTTTGCGCGATTGCATGATTTTTGTTTGACAGCTTGAGTACTTTGTTCTGAATATGATTTCAAAATTCCGCTCCACTTAGCACCTAGGTATATGTGAAGGAAATCCTGTGGAGCACTCAGTTTCTACCCAGCTTCTTTCTGCGTTTGCATATTGCGTCTAAGGTATTGGTGGTACGGCATAATCGCAGATTTGACTATTGTGTCTGCGGATTCCCATGTGTGAGCTTGATTTATACTTCATTGGACTTAGTGAAATACACTGGGTATGTGGTCAAGATTTGAGCAAAATTCATCAATTATTATGGAAGTTACGGCTGTGTTCATGCGGTCGGGCCGCGAACCCAGACTGCCACCTTAATCTACTCAGTTTGTGTGTTTTTTTAAACAGTTTGGAAATATCACAAGACCCTTTTTTAGGGCTCATGTGTGACAGCCAGGGAATCGTATCTAAACGTTTGGGCACGACTCCCTGGTGACAGCAGGGCTGAAAACGTCTGTGCGTGCAGTAGGTTAGTACCTGCTGGTGGGGGCGCTGGATCACCATGTACCAATGTGTAGTGATACAGCCGCAGCAGGTCCTCTTGTGTAGCGCTTGTCCATGCAACTGTCAGTATACTGGCCAACACCACCAAGCAGTGCTGGATCAGCGTCTCAACTTGCATCTTCTCCACTGGCTACTAGTATTAGTATTACTGCAATAATTGGTGGGACATTTAGCCCAGTTCTATACTAGTGGTGGCAAGTACTCTACAATAACATATCCAACTAACCCCAACACCAGGGAAGACAAACGAGAGAGCAAGAAGACACAGAACACATAGTCATTGCATGAAAATATCGAATGTATGAAAAACTGACTTGAACAGCTTTTCACTTTTCAGCTGTTTGATAGAGACATGATAGTCGCGTTTTTCATGCTTTGGGTTTGCGCCGCAAAGGCGTCCTGTCAAAAATGTACGTGTACACAGTCACATGTACGGTCCTAAAAAAAATACATTGTAATAATAAAAAAAACATGCTCGTACAGTCCTGAAAAAGACGGACTTCTAGCTGCGCTAGCTTTTGCCCATAAATGGGTCAAACCTAGCCATTGCAATATTGGCGGACTATGCTCGGCTATCGTCAAATACTATAATAATGTTAGCAAACTGATCAAATGTTCAGAGTGAAAAAACCACAGAAAAAGATTTAAAAAATTTCAATAATAATTATTATAGTTTTCATCCACTATTAAAATGTAGTACCACAATAGAAGGTATATTCTGATAAACTTTGAGATAAGCAGTAAGCATGGCAGGCTCACCGCATCCACTAAAAATACTCTATTTTGATAACCACAGATGTATGGTATATTCACCTTTATAAAATTATAATAGAAATCCCCTGGTAGTCAGTCTTGGGTATAGTCGTATCAGGGTAGTCAAATGGAAACCATTATCCGCTAGCATGAAGACCGCGACTGGTCTATTCATGTATCTGCTTAAAAATTAGATTAGACAAACCGTGTTTTCTTAGCAATGCACGACTAGTCTCAATTTCCACTCAACTGGCAAAACCTTTTTCCGCAAAGGGAAAAGATGAAAATTAATATCGTGTGTGCACTCAAGTGCCACCAAATGTTCTCAGAGTTTCCAACCGGTTGTAGTGTGAATATGTCGGTGTGCAGTACTCTGAAAGCAAATAACAGCTATGAACAACCATGACATAGCTAGAACTTGTTGAACTAAAAACAGCAATTTATTAAAATATGATAGGCGTTGGCTCTCAGCGGAAATACTTCTGGTGCTTACTGTAAAAGCCATTGTTCTAACGAGGCGCATATTTAACGATTTCCCAAAATTGACTAGTTTACGTGCACTCACTCATTCTCAACGCTCAATAGGACAGTATATGTATCGATTTCTGTATAACGATTTCTATTTTAACTACAGATTTCTCCTCGCTAACTCGCTAGAGTTAGCACTTCGTTATATATATGACTTTCCCAGTACCTGGTAAGTTAGCAGAGCACTAAATCGCACCAATCACACTATGGCCTCCTCCATATCCTGAGTACCGGTCACTGTAATCTTCACCGGCGACGGCAACACTAGTTCTGATTCATCCACCTCTTGCACATCACTGTATCGTGAGGTCGGTGAGGTAGCCATAGTTTTCATCTGGGTGGTCACAATGACAGCCGGGCCACTGTTTTTACTGGAGCAGACGCCAACTCTTGCGGGCGTGCTGTGACGCCGCTCCAGCTCAAAGCTATTGGTTGTGAGCGAGCTCAAGCCAGCACTGCTAGTGCAGGCTGGAAATACGACGACGTCTTCATTAGTCGTGATACTGGTCGAAGAAAGAGGGCAGAGGGAAGTGACGGGTGGATTCTCAGAAGCCTCGGATATGGTTCCTAACGAGCTTATGGAACTCTTTGCGACCAATGATGACACACCAGATGATCTAGGACAGTCACGTGATACAAGTGAAGCAGCACCAGACCGCAGTGGTAACGATTGAGAACGTTGGGTTCTCGCTGGTTGACCATCACCACTGCCTGTGGATTTGCGTGGTAGTAAAAATACAGATCTACTAATATACCCGATCAAGCCGCGTAGAGATGGTTTTGAATCATACGCAGAATTGTACTCACTGGCAAGACGGCGTTGCTCGCCACCTTTCATTGAAAACGCATATCCCGGCGCAGAGTCTGGGTGCTGCTGTGCCCAGTCCAGGATGCTGTCGCGATGCACCGAGTCCAGCGAGACTGTGCCGCGGCGACGGAGCGCTGTAGCGCAGGTGTCGCGCATCAAACGCATCTCAGCTGTGGTGGCCTTGCTGAGTGCTAGCTTCTCTTTGGTTGGCCACTCGACCCGCCGGACTTTGGGTAAGTAAAGAACGGCTGGCATGACGCCAAATTGGAAGAACACCTCCAGAGACCGCACTGCATACTGAATATCAGGTGTGGTCTCCAGCACTGCCTTGCCAATGAACACTAAGATTTCAATCAGGCTCGACAGGTAGACAATGATGGAGATCTCCCGGCTCTCCGCATGATCACTTAGTACTCGTCGAACCTTGAAGCACAGGAAACTATTAAACAATACTACAGTCAAATGAACTACTAGCCGGAAGTACTTGAAGCTCTTATCGTTGCAGCGATCAAAGTAGTAGGGCTGGTGGTCAATGATCTCTTTGTCTTCTTCGACTGTCAATATATCCGCACTTGTTGCCACAGATAGCACAACACAGAATAGCAAAACGAACACAACCAGATACAGAGCTAGGTCGTTGTTCGTCAATCGTGTCTTACCACGCGGTTTGATCATGGCCTTGTTGCTGAAGATCTGTTCAACCCTCCAGCTCTTCAGCAGTATGCTGCCATAGCTCAGGGCAAATCCAACTTCAACTGTCCAGTGGAACATGATACATGTCACTTTCGATGTCTGGCTCTCTCCAAATAGGCCAGCAAATGCCAACAAGCAGCCACTCAGAATCACCACCAAGAACTGCCAGCTTGCCGACCTAATCGGGGCCTCCTTCCGTTTTACAATGACATAGATGAGCAATGCGACGATGAGGACCACTGCTAGACTATTGACAATGTGAAACGGAAGCACGATAGCTAGCTTTGTCTTGTAGCGACAATCGTCCTGGCTGGATGTGCATGTCCGGCAGCGATTGGGACACTTCTCGCACTTGAAGTACTGCAGCTCAGCGAGAATACCTGCCTCGCATGAACTAGCGCTCAAATTGCGCACTCTTTCCGACAGCTGAAATCCACTGATGGATTCAGAGTTGTTAGAATGAGGGTAGTAGAAACCTTCCTTGCACTTGCACACATAGTTACCATCGCGTAGTTTAAAATCGTTCGTGTCAATGACGGTTTGACACTGTGACGTAGCCAGATCACACATGTTTGTGTCTGCAAACACGTTTGCACCTGTAAAGTTCGCTATGTTGGCAGAGCATTGGCTGATCTGTATCCTCCCAAGATCAATATCAATTCCAGCCATTCCCAGATAGTGTACTGTTTTGTTGTGGTACACTGCCACTGGTGCTGCATAGGTTACCATCCAGGTAAAACCAAGATCACAGTCGAAGTATGGGTTCACCCATAGAGAGTCAGTGTACCTTGTGTGTACTGGGCAAACGACATCATCCGGGATTTCACAGCTCTCGGCGGATTCCAGTAGCGTCAAGTTGCCACGTGGACACAGACGACGGCATGCTCCACCCAGCCATGCATCTGTCTTTTGGATGCTGGAATTTTGAAGAAATTCCTTGGCTGTTTCGTACCACGCCGGCGCATCAGCATCGTCGGACACTCTATGTAAGGTACTGATATGGTGACCATTTTCTCCCTCATCAATACTTAGATTCCGAGGGAAATAGAAACACTCACTTCCAGTGTACACACCATTGCCCAAACAGCCTCCTACAGCAAAGATATTGTCAGTCAGAGCACTACTTCTTGCTCTTGTAGCAAACAATATATTTCCCTCACGAAAGAAGTTTGTAGTTTCCAGCTGGTTGCATCTGTGGTTGATAAAACTGTCATCGCCTTTTGGCCAAATGGTGTTCACTGGGCGCATGTCTGCAATGAGACTTGAGAGGAGGTGAGCATTCTCCACCGCAAACTCTGCGTGGAACCGGAACTCAGTGAAGTTGATTGTAAGGTCGCCAGGATCACTCTTACAAACATCTGCACACCGCGATGCATTTTTACCACAGAACATATCACTCTCATCTTTGGCAAGCTTGATTTTGCTGAAGAATTCCACTACTTTCTTCTGCGAGGTACATATCCGGTCAACCAGCTGATCATCAGTACTTCCTGTATGTGTTGAGCTGGACACTGCACAGCTCACGGCAACAAGGAACACCAACCACCAGCACCGGAACATTGCATAGTTGCGAGATGTCCTCTTGGCACGACCCAGGTGCTGTGATAAAGAAACAAAAGAGAAGGACAGAATGTTTCTAGTTAAAAGTCTCCAGTTTTTGGAGACAACACACCATACACTTACTCATTCTGCGGACAGAACTGTGTCCTCCATTACCACACACAGTGATCTCTTTTACAAACGGTAGCGCATATAGCCATTTCACGCCTTTTCAAGTGTGGCAAAAATGAACAGAAACCCACAAAGAAATATCTCAGCTGGCAGGGTGTAAGTGGTGACGTTGCAATACTACATCAGCCATGCCACCCATTCTGGAACTTCGTGTTAGCTCAGTTCTACTTCGACGTACAGTTGAACATCGATTATCCGCACATCGACTATCCGACCATTCGATTATACGTAACAGTTTTTTTGGGCGCACGTGCCGTAGAGTACGCACTGTGCATGTAGTGAGCCATTCAAAAATACGAAAATTTTGAAAAGTAGCACTCTATTCTATTTACAATGTACATGTACATGTATTTACAGTGTGTTTTCTTATCCGGAACATTTGCCTTATCTGAACACCGCCTGACAGTTGTCTGCCCAGAGGTGGTCGGATAATCGATGTTCAACTGTATATAGAAAAGAGTATGGTGCACAACTATTTACCAGAGGGGGGGAGAGAGAGAGAGAGAGAGAGAGAGAGAGAGACGGAGAGAGTTTTGTGTGTGTTTCAACTTTGTGTGTGTGTCCTTACACATTCGGATGGTTATCATTCTGAACAGGGAGACACATCAATTAACGGGGTGGGACTGGATTGGGCCGTCCTGGTATGGGGAACCACTCTTAGTACATGTACAGACAATTCACATCTGCATGCAACTCAATGGACCTACCCATCACCTGTGCTACTATATTTTTCTGCAGTATAATCCGCACTGGAATACATGTATAACTTTATAAGCCGCACTCCCATTTTTTTTTGCCACGAAACACAGACAGCTAACCTAGAGGCTGTACACCTTAACCTGCAATAGTGCTCAAATGCTCGGAATGGGCAGAGCGTAGGACGCAAGAGGTACACAAAAGGAAGTGAATGGGGCTGTTTTTTTTGTAACCCAGAGTCTCATGGCAAAAACCAATCATCAGACAGCATCCAACCTATTAATTTTATCACGGTTCATTTGATCGTCGAAGTATACCCCCCCCCTTTGTAGGTGAAGTTTGAGTGTTCAAAGTGCGGCTTATATCACGGAAAATACTGTGCTTATTTCTGACGTCACCACTTTGAAGCACAATAATTATCAGTGACAGTATTGATAAGTTTCATTTCTGGGTGCATCAACCTGATGAGAAGGTGATCAATGCACACTCCGAGTGTGGAAATATAATTATTGCTATGTTGCTTATGAGGACCCTGAAGCTACACACTAAGTGTGATATACGTCATAATTATTTAATTAATTATCCTCTTTCATCCCGTTCTCCCCTCTTTTTTGGGGATTCTTTGTACTTCGTCTTTCTTGTTTTTCTTGTTCCTTTGTTTTTTGTAGGACAGATTTTTGGTGTACTGATTTCGGTTGTTGTTGTGTCTGACTCTATTCCCAATATCTAATTCTGTGGTTGGTTTTCCAACTCATTGGGTTGCAGTTTCCATCATGAGTTTGATTCCATCGTGAGTTTGATTCCATCGTGAGTTTTGATTCTATTTGCTATTTTCGTTCCATTTTTGAGCTCATATTTTATTTTCCTGATTTCTTCTCCAGTGTATGTTGTATTGCATTTTAATACATTGTGTTAATTTTTGCCCGTAAAAGAGGCTTGCACTTCAAAAAAAAAAAAAAAAAAATTATAGTTTTATACCTGTAATATAATTATACGCCAAGGTTATAGCCAGAACAAAACTGCGGGGGGGGGGGGGGATCATCAGACCCAAAATGTTGTGATTTTACGGCCATTTTGTGCCGCTACTTTCACCACCACCAGTACGTAACAGAACCGGAAACTATTGCACTTCCGTTCCATGTATTTATTCACCAGCCCCTGGAATCCCTCCATTGCTATGGGTATTCGAGGTCAGCGGTGATTATGATGCTCATACAATGCTTGCTACTATATGCACATGATGATTGTGTCTTCGCATCATGCATATTATTAAACGGTGGCGCTCGCACTCTGAAGGGTGGCGCATTCATTTTGAAAGGGGGCGGTCAAAAAGCGAATAGGGGAGCACCGCACCGCTATGTCGCTTTGGCGAGACTGATCCGGCATGTACATGTGCAGTGATCAGAGTCCGGGTACTAGTAGTCAGTATTCGGAGACAGCTCGGATGCTGAAGTCTTAGTGCCGAACAGGCTACAGTACTGCCTGCATCACATGACCACTGTTCAATGCATAATATACAAACACAGCGAGTACTGCATGGCCTACTGTGTAGTACTGTGGGGCGCCGAAGAACGGCCAGGCTAGAACTTCACTGATTTTAAGAACGGTCTGGGTGGGATGTTTTGCAGATAAGAACGGAAACCATAATGTACACTATAATGTACACTCACTGATGTATAACTCTGCGTAAATGTACATGTAAAACTGTACCATCGAAAAGGAACAAAACTGCTGTGTTCGCTAAAAATAAGATCGGGCTAGGCTAGAACCCTGATCCCTCCGTTCTTCGGCGTCCGACAGTACTGTAAGGGCTAAAGTTGAGACACAAAGTTGTGGCCAAAGAAATCCGACCAGTGAGGCGAAAGCAGCACCAATGCTCATGAAGCACCTGCAACCCTCGGATGGGTCTTTCGACAATGCATGATGTAATTCCTTTGAACTGGAAGCTGGACGCTGCTTTTGACTCACGGTTCGGAATTCTTCGGCCACGACTACAGCCATGCAGTGTGTGCTGACTTGCAGGGCTGTATGCAGCATGAAGAAGGGGTGGAGAGAGGAGGGGGGTAATTTGTGTATAGGTGTGTAAAACTGCATCGCTCAACACACGGAGCACACCCTGGTGATGTATGTACATATAGGTGAACATCGGGTGCCAATTTTACTCAACTGTAGCAATGAACCAGTACAGAAGTCTACTGTTCAGGCCCAGAGCCAGCTCCTGAAGGTTGGCACGTCCACCGGGCGGCTACAGGATCGACTGTTTCCCCATGCCCAATTTCAAAGTCTTGGGAGGATACCTCTCTATCTCTATGCATCATATCTGTTTGTTTCCACTACACATTCCTCTAGCAACAATCATAATCATAATTATGACAGATAGCGCAGTAGACCTTACTGGCCACGAAGAACAGTTTAGGAGGGAGAGACTCTAGCGAGAAGTGTATGGGGATAGCTTATTACTAGTACTTCCAGATAATCAACTGCGCACTAAACAATCCATGAACACGGGATTTGGTAAAATCTGGTGCAGCCATGGCCGCACCAGCCATACCGGTGGCAACGGCCCTGCTGTTTCGTGTCTGCATGCACACAATACAGTAAAACCTGTAACTAACGACCACCGTGACTAGCGACCACCGTGACTAGCGACCGGCCTGGTACTACCGACCACTTCGTCAGGCACGGACGGTCTCACATTCAAAATGCACTGTGACTAGCGACTTCCTGCTGAACGCGACCAGCCACCGCCTTTTCTTGTCCCAATGTCGAATTTTGACCCGTAACTAGCGACTGCGATGTAGGAAATCAAACATTGCTCGAAGCTCCTTCTCGAAATGTTGATGATTTTCCATGTACAGTCAAATCTGCCGTTAGCGACCTCTGCTGTAGGCGACCATCTACCGTTAGCGACCGATTTTCCGTGCACCGACGGTTTCACATACAAACTGATCTGTCCAGAGCGACCATCTGCTGTGCGCGACCAGCGACCGCGATTTCATGCACGGTGGCTGCATTCAAGCGACCGCGACCCAGGTTCAGTAAGGTGCGAAGCTGTACTTGCCAGTGCGCTGTCAACTGCAAAGTGTGAAAATGCGCTGTCTTGCAAGTGCGATCGACTGGCGCCTGGCCTGCACTGAGGCTGTGCTGTAGCTCTCAAGTCCAGGCAGTGTCGATCTACTGCCATATCGCATACGCGTACTATACGGGTATGGTCGTCGTTGAATATCCAATAAAAATTAATGATATTAAAAATCACATTATTCTCGTCGATTTGAGTACATGGAAACATATACCTGGTATGCCGGATTTACCATACATCTGCCGTAGGAGACCATCTGCAGTAAGCGACCGCTTTTTCTTGCACCAAGGGGCGGTCGCTTACGACAGATTTGACTGTACCTGAAAGGACTGTTTCGATATTACAGCTGGACAAATGACCGCAGTCTCATT